GTTATGCTGAAGGTTTCCGAACTAATGCCGGTGAAGCAAGGTCATTGCGGTAGACGAGGCGCTGAAGTGAAAGTGTGGAGAACTTTTTTCAGGGCTAATTAACTAATTAATTAAAATAGAAATTTTAAGAAGAAAAAGAAGAAATTATGCTAGAAAAGATTTTGATTCACAAATAAATTCGACACAATTGAACCACTTCACGTATTTATTATAATTTGAGGCAGCATGTACGCAGTATCGTTACGGTCGCTGAAAGTTTCCGAACTAATGCCTGTGAAGAAAGGTCATTGCGAGCGGTAGACGAGGCGCTGAAGTGAAAGTATGTAAAGCTGCTGAAAAGAGCTTTCCACACTTTCACTACTCGGAGCTATTTTCAGAAGAAAGAGTGGAAAATATGTAAAAGTAAGCCCAATTTTTTTTATATGCATAATAAGGCAGGTATTTGACCACAATCGCACCTGGTGTTAAGTGGGATGCAGTCTAGGATGGTACATATCTGCCCTGTCCTAAGTGCCTATTCACTCTCGCCTTGAAGAGGCCCCGATGATAGTCTTCGGGAAAGACAGCAGCAGGCAGCGTATTCCAGCCCCTAGCTGTTCGCATTATAAAAGAGTCATCGAAACGCTTAGTGCTGCTAGAATGTCAACAATATAGGGATGGTACGCTAACCTGCGTCTGGTTTACTGGTGATGGAAGGGGCTGGTGGAATTAGCTTTAGTAATTCTTTCGCACATTCTCCGAAGTGCAGCCTGTAGAAAACCAATAGGGATGCTACTTTACTTCGACATTTTGAGCCGCTATTTATTTATTGATATTTCTTTGATGATAAAGTATATCGGTATAAATAGCTTAATTAGGTACCTAACTTTTGAAGTGAAGATTCAATAACATGGAAAATGTTACCTGTGTACTGTGCACCTAAGTTATGTGTATCAAACTTTATTTTATTCTAGCTATATTTTCAATGCCATTTAATTTTTAGCTTGCTAATTTATCTAGACCAGACACCTGCGTTCATTCTCCATCGCTATGCGATCCTCTCACGCGGTGCTAAGGGAGTTATTTGTCTGCAAGTAATCTACTCTCCCAGAGTTACCTACTGTTTTTGCGATACGTTGAACTCTAAATCGTTTCGCTTCCTAAATTGTAGGGTTCTTGGCACCCATAATCAGAGTCGCCGATGCAAAATAGAAGATAATAGAAAGTTGCCAACCTTCTAAGAGTTTCAACTCCATATTGTTCTAACTTTACTTTGAATAGTTTGATAAATCGCATTTTCATATCCAATCTGAAGCTTAGCTGCACTTGATGAGGTTTTGTCAAATAATTTTGCTAGAATACCATTTTTTGTACTTGTATTCATTCATGAATAGTATTTTTATTTGTTTATCTACAGACTAGATGCATTAATTTGCTGGAATCATGGATATGTGAAGGAGATAGGTAAAATAAAAACAAACTTCCCTGTGACATCAAGTCCCACCATCAATCGCGATCGGCGGCCAGCGGGCAGCGGCTGGCCTCCAGCACATTAATTTATCAGGCAGTTTATCTTAACTATTAATCGTCCGGCTTTGTCAGGGAATCGCAATTGATGTAGTCCTTGTATTAGTCCCTTCACCGTTTGCCTGATTAATTGCCCCGGACAGACAGACGAGCCAATTCGGGTTAACAGAAGTTCACTGACTCGACGTAAAAAGCGCTGAATGAAAAAGCAGAGTCCGAGTGCATTTTAATGAGTACGTAAACATACAACTGGCCACTGAAGTCACTGTTCTTTATCCTTAAGTCCTTAAGGCTAGCATTTACCGCCTCGATGCCGTGCATTCGTTTACCTCAGCCCCCGCACACCTCGAACTGACACTCGCGCTGACATTGCGCGACGCGATGACGCCACAGTGTAAAAACAAGCCGTAAGTTGGATTAAACCGTAATCTTCAAATAGTGAATAAATAAATAATAAATATCCTTCGACATAATATTTGAACACTGCGCCTCTAGTCTCAAACTAAGCGAGCTTGTACTATGGGATATGAACATACTTAAATACTTTTACATAACAAAAATAAATACATATTATGGTTAGAAAACACCCAGCCCGAAACAAACATTATTATAATGTCCATAGACACAAATGTTTGTCAATCAATAATGTCAAATGAAAGATGATAATATTAAGTCAAACAAATACTTTTTACCGACAAAAGTAGTAAATGATCACAAAAATTTAAACTTCATTATAATATGAAATAAATTTATTTCTATACAGTTCTTTTACATTTTGCTATTCTATTTATGCAAATGACTCTAAATTAATTTTTGTAAACCCAGAAATAGTAAACAATCCTCAAAACAACTTGCTTAGAGGTCCTCTTCTGCCCTTTTAGATTTGTAACTCAGATTCAAGCAGTAAACTTCTAAAATAATTATTTATGGTATCAATTAAATAACTGTATCGCCATCTAGTTTTATAATTCAGCATCTTTAAAAATTTGTGAAAAATCTGAATTGATGACTCGCCTTATATTCTTTCATCATCAAAAAGTACCTAAAATTATCATCTTATTGTAAATTATGGCAACTATTTCCACATAATTATTTGAAAATATAAGACAAAAATGTTTAAGTTTTACAAAACTATGTAGAAGAGCAGACATCTCGAAAACCATACAAGATATTATCGAAAAACTTGACTGAAAAAGTAGTAAATTAAATGAGTTTTCATTTTTTTGCAGTAGTCATATCGCTAGGACGCATAGTTATTTATTTAGACAGTTTCTGAGATATAAGCGAAAAACCCAAAAATGGGACCTTCAAAGGCTGCGATCGAGAACTTTTGTCATTCACTTGTTACACGTGTTTTATAAGTTCGGCGATTTTTGTTTGTTAGGAAAATTAAAAAATATTTATTCAGATTAGACCACAAGTGGCACTTATGAACGTCAAAATAAAATATAGTAAATAATTAAAAAAAAAAGGTAGCCCTTATGGGGCACTTTACATATCTCCTTACCATTTGGGCCCTACCAGCGCTTCGAGACAAACATAAATGGCAAGTGTTGAGAAGAAACGGTGGAACAAACTCCTTACGATTAAAGAATTTGAATCAAGTTTTGCTTATAAAATGAAATGAAAAGTGTTTGAAATGTTAAAAATGGTCTTTGGTGAGTCTGCTGTGAGTGGATCAAGAGTTTCCGAGTGGTAAAATCGTATCTAAGAAGACCATGAATACATAGAAGAGAGCGCTCTGAACGCACCAGCATATGAACAACCGATGAAAATGTGAAAAAACTGAAAGAAGTGGTTATGAAACACCGTCGAATCACAATTAGGGAAGATGCTGATGATGTTAGCATATCGTTTGACTAATGCTATGAATATTTTTTGGATTTTTGTCGGTATGAAACACATGGTAACAAAATTTGTTCGAAAATTGGTGAATTTGAGTGAAAGTGGCGCGAATTTTTGCTAAAACAATACTGTAACAATTTTCCAGTCTCCACATTTACCGGAAATGGCTGTGTATGACTAGTTTCTATTTCCGTGAATAAAAATAACTTTAAAGGGTCATCGTTTTACAGACATAGGTGACATTAAACACGCTTCGCCGATCGATGTATTAGCTATCTCAAAGATCGACTTTAAGAAGTATTTTGAGAATTGAAAGAAGCGCTAACACACGTGTATAATGTATAATAGGGACTATTTTAAAAGTTTAAATACTGATGTAGATCAATAAATAAATACTTCTCTGAAAAAACGAAAATTCCCGTTATTTTTGAACAGACTATGTACATACATAGANGCATTACCATTACCATTTAAGATAGCAAACCAAGAAGCTATCGACTCTACCATTATCAAGTTATGCGGCGAACCAGACTGCATAATTATTAACCATTACCATTTAAGTTAGCGACCAAGAAGCTAACGACTTTACCATTATCAAGTTATGCGGCGAACCAGACTGCATAATTATAACCATTACCATTTAAGTTAGCGACCAAGAAGCTAACAACTTTACCATTATTAAGTTATGCAGCGTACCAGTCTACATAACCTACGACCATTACCAAACCAGTAGCAATCAAGACGCTACAAACCAAGAAATAAGATCGACCAGGTAGCAACCAGAAGCTACAGATCTTAAAACGACCATTTTTACCAAGTTGTAGTAAGCAAGAGGCTACAACTAACTATTGTTTTATTTATTTATCACTGTGGCTTGTGCATTGCCACAAAATCTTCATTTTTCATATTACCATACTTTGCTACATTGCGAGCGCATTACTACCATTCAGCGATTCTCGCATAGTTTCACCTTTCTGCAACTAAGCATTTCGCAGTCCATTGACTTTATACCAAGTAAATTATCATAACATTTTTGTAATGGTTTTCAAGTAAATAATATTATCATTATTAGGCAGTGTAGGTTACCAATATTAGTTAGGCGGGGGAAATTATAACAACCATAACTACCAATACTTGTCCTTCACTACCATCCTAACACCTACTTTTCCTACCAACGACAACTACCATCATCAACGACAAGTACCATCATCTACCACCAAGTTGAGCAACTACCACCATCATCAGAACATCACCAACCTGACAGCAGCGGATCAGTTACCGGCCTCCCGGAAGTGGGTCTCACCGGTAACCGAGAAGTCGCAGATGCTGTTCAGCGCAACATAAGCCAAGAGGGCACCAATCAAGAGGACAACAGCTATACAACAGCCTGGCCACACCAGCGCCAGGCCCACCATCAGCTTGACCACACCAGCGCCAGGCCTACCATCAGCCTGACCACACCAGCCTGGCCACACCAGTGCCAGGCCCACCATCAGTCTGACATCACCAGCCTGGCCACACCAGCGCCAGGCCCACCATCAGCCTGAACACACCAGCCTGGCCATACCAGCGCCAGGCCCACCATCAGCCTAGGCAACACCAGTGCCAGGCCTCACCAGCGCCAGGTCCGCGAGCATCCTGGCATCACCATGAACCACTCCCGCGAGCTGCCTGGTCAGTCAACCAGCCAGGTGGACACCATGTGGACAGCCAACCAGAGGTCCACCACCTGGGTCATCAACCACTCATGGAGTCACCGGCAGCCAAGGTCTTCGGTCATCGGGCAGCAGGGCAGCCACGTGCAGCATCCTCCGCGCCTTCTTCTTCTGCGAGGTGCCAATATGTACGAGCACGATCGTACATCCTGCTGCACCGTCAGCATTGACCGCCGGGCGACCCATGAACCCTCAGCGTGCACCGTCGGCACTCTACACCGACGGCACACTAACAAATACCTTTAAATGTGTACAAACAATAAACCATGTATAAATAGCAATAGTTAATACCAATAAATCAGATATCAACCGTCCGTCGTTGTGTCTCATTTCCCCCCGCTGCGGCCAAGACACCCTTAGCCGTCGCTATGATCAGTCCGGTGAGTCTGCCGGGCTGGCAGCGGGTCCCCGCCGCCTACCTGCCGTCCTAACGCTGCTGCCCTGGGCGACCTGGGCACAGCTTCCTTCCTATCACACCTTATTATGTCTAAGTATTTATTGTTAGGCAGGGCTAGGGCTCTAGGGACTTAGTGTCTTAGGGAATAGGGACTCTAGGCTCACTAGGGAGTTAGTTCCCTTCCTGACCGCATATCCCGGGCACGGGAGCGGTGCCTTACAACCACTGCCTCCCGCCCGTACACGCCTAATTATGTTGCTGTCGCGCTCGCACACTCACTACGAGCGCCCGTCGCACAGTCACGACAGCAACATAATTACGCGCGAGCGATAAGGATGGGTAGCTTGGGGTCATTGGACAAAATTCTACGTGCTCACGCACCAGGCTTTAGTACTATTAGTTCATTTTAGTACGCTTAATCTATTCGGTAGATCGAATGAAAAAAGTCTTTATTCCTATGTAGTTATGGTCCAATATCGAAAAACACTCGCAACACAGTTACAAAGCCGTATCCATCTCACTCGCGCTCACATGTCACTAACCTCACGTCTCATTCTATCACTATCAGTTCATTTTAGTACACCGGAATACGGAGTAGTTCGTTCTCGTTCACATAAATAAAGGAATTGCTTCCAATTAGTACATAGTACATGTACTACACAAGCCTACATTGCTGACAGAAAGGTTTTTTCGCATATTTCTCTGGCTTACAAGATGTGAATAATTGAATCTCAACCTTACGTGTATTGCGTTTAGATCCACAAGCGCACGCACAGCGACGACCGGCCGTGCAAATGCGAGGAGTGCGGGCGCGAGTTCCGCCAGTGGAGCGACCTGAAGTACCACAAGACCTCCATACATTCCGACCAGGTGAGTTCATACTCCCTTAGGAGGCCTATGTTCAGCGGTGGACGTCCTGTGGCTGAAATGATGATGATAAGTTCATAATTTGACAGCAGTGTCTTGTTAGCTAGAGATCAAATTCTTCAGATGTGTATTTTCGAAATCATTATAGGTATGAAGCATGGGAGCAGCAAATGAGTGTTTTTGTGACGTCAAACTTCAGAGACTTCAGATCTCTTTCGTATTTGTATACTCTATCACGTCACAATATGTCATTGCACATATAGATGACCCACGCTGAACTGTCCCACCAAACTCAATGACAGGGGGGCGCTACCATCGTTCAACTATATGGTTTCCAACATGACAAAAATCGGAACCAGCGATCCGGTATTGACGGTGGCGCCCCACTGTCAATGTCATTGATAGGACAGTTCAGTATTTTGGAACTATACATTACACGCGCAGCTAAAGTAGACGAACACTTACTCACATTGTTGTAATATTTGAATGCAGAACACACATAACAAATATACATTCAAGTTTAAATGTCGTTTACATTCTCACTTCACCTCATTCTTGCTAAATGTGTTCAAGCACTTTTCAGTTTAACTACGCAATACGTCAGCGCGGCGAGCGTATAATCTTGCTTGTGTTTATCGCCTCAACTCTCGCTGCGAGATTTAGAGTAGGAATCAATCAACCAATGTTTTAGGTGTTAGTATAATTTCCAATTTACCTTTCGTTCCAATCAACAGAAACACTTCAAATGCGAGTTTTGCGGGAAAGAGTTCGCTCGCAAATACTCGCTGAACCTCCACCGGCGCATCCACACCGGCGNTCCTCCTACCGCCTCAGCCACATCGTACGCCCACCGCCGAGTGCAACCCCCATGCCCTACGCGACCCTCTGACGCCCGCTCGCAAGTACTCGCTGCACCTCCACCGGCGAGAGGAACTACAAGTGCGAGTACTGCAGCAAGAGCTTCCGCGCCTCCTCCTACCGCCTCAGCCACATGCGCACGCACACGGGTGAGTGTAGTCTCTATGTGGGACGCATCCCAGGGAGCCCCCTCGCAAGTACTCGCCGCACCTCCACCGGCGAGAGGAACTACAAGTGCGAGTACTGCAGCAAGAGCTTCCGCGCCTCCTCTGACCCCCCACCCCCGAGAGCTAGCCCTCCGGCCGTGCGCGGCGCCCTTCCGGGCCGCATGCGAGTGAGCCCGCTCGCAAGTACTCGCTGCACCTCCACCGGCGAGAGGAACTACAAGTGCGAGTACTGCAGCAAGAGCTTCCGCGCCTCCTCCTACCGCCTCAGCCACATGCGCACGCACACGGGTGAGTGTAGTCTCTATGTGGGACGCATGCGAGTGAGCCCGCTCGCAAGTACTCGCTGTTAACCTAATGTAATATAAGTGTCATAAGTGCCACTTGTGGTCTAAACTGAATAAATATTTTTGATTTTGATTTTGTAATTACGTAACTTAAGTGGATCAGCATCGACTCGGCTACTGCTAGATGAGGCCGCGCTTACGGATCGCCAAACGCTTTAATCAGTTTGAATATCCATACTAATATTATAAAGAGGAAAACTTTGTTTGTTTGTTTGGTTGTAATGAATAGGCTCAAAAACTACTGGACCGTTTTTAAAAATCCTTTCATCATTCGAAAGCTACATTATCCACGAGTAACATAGGCTAAATTTTATTTTGGAAAAAATTAGGCATCCGTAAAATATGTTGATAATGTAGTCCACGCGCGCGAAGCCGCGGGCGGAAAGCTAGTACATAATATGAACGTAGAGCTATAAGCTAACGCACAATGAACCGTAAGCGCGGGGACGACGAGTAGTATGCTAGTTGAACTGCTAGTTGTTAGTAGTGGTAGTTGAACTAGACCACGAATGCACTGCGATTAGTTAGCTTGTCCCGGGGCGAGGGAATGACGTCACGATTCCGATTAATGTGCGTTGCAGTAGGGAAGGGAGTATCATACAAAGAGTTACTGAACGGCTCGAGTTGATAAAGTGACGATCCCTTTCCGAGTTGATAAGTGTGCTATAATCTTTACTCATCTAATAGACAGTTTGACACCATACCCCAATAATTCGAAACCACAACTGTTTTAAAAAGACTCTTCATTCTGGTGTTAAAAACCTAATTTATTTTAAATTACCTGTAAATTTCGATTTTTGATCGAATTGTAATTGTAAAAGTAGTTTAATTGGGTTGACAAAATAGTGACGTCACTTGCTTGTAGTGCCATACAAAATCTATGGGAGAGTTTCGTTTTGACAGTTTTAAAAAGTACGTCAATTGACTGTGGTGTCAACATGTTTATTGTGTTGTCGGCAGGCGACCGGCCGTACAAGTGCAACGAGTGCGAGAAGTGCTTCCGCGTAGCTGGCGACCTGCGACGCCACACGCTGACGCACGACAAGTCGCGAGCGCGACTTCGCGACAAGCCTCGCGCGCGCGACCCCAAGCCCGAGCCCAAGCCCGACGTCAAGCTCGAAAGCGCCGACCCCACCCCCACCCCCGCAACCCCCGCCAAAACCTTCAAAAAAGTCGCCCTCGCCTCCACCACCCGCCTCCCCACCATTCTCAAGGTCGAGAAAAAACAACCCCGCCTCAAGAAAAACCCCGTCAACAAAAAAGGCGGCGCCCCCAACGTCACCGTCGCCAAAAACGACACCTTCAAAATCGCCGAGAACAACGAAATCGAGGTCTTCGAACTCCGCCAGCCCAGCCACTACAAGGAGATGTATGATCCCGGCGAGTACAGCAAATGCATGTACAAGGACAGCGAGCGGGTCTCCGACGACCGAGATGTCATGTTCCGAAACGTGTGTGACGTCGAAAAGCCGTACCGAAGTGAGAACACTGACGGTAAGATGCAAATATACACTCACGTAGATAAGAGTAAGGATTATAGCGGGCCGGTTATAAGTAGTTCGGTCTCTTTGGGCGATATTAGGCATCTGGAGAGGGAGCTGGCTAGGGAGGTGAGACACGACGGCCTGCACGGGGAGACGATCGAAAACGGTTTTTTAGATAGACTGACAGCGTTATATAATATATCGGCCGTATGAGACTTGCTAAAAACTCACAGGAATAGATCCCTGAAATGTCGTATATTATCACAATATTCACGATTTACTTTATAATTTGTTGCTGGATCACACAAATTCATTCCTATTTATTTCAAATTAACACAAATCAGTATAAATATTAGATGAATAACAACAGACAACCGCCGTTCTGTGACAGATATAATACATTGCTATGTGCGGTAGCGACGGGCCACATTTCAAGACCGCGGAGGCACCCTGGCGTGGTACGTGGCTCTAATGAATGCACACCTGACTGACTGACTGACTCAGGCACTTATTTAATTTGAGTGTGACAAGGACGCTTACTTTGACACGGGCTCCTATAAAATAAGTTGTGCCAAAAATTCCCATGGCCGTAAAAACCTTTTATTTTATAGAGAATTCAAATATCTAATATAAATTCTAACCCCTTATTAATACTTAACCCAGTACAAAAACATTTTTGAACTTGCTGGGCCTGTGTAGAGGTTAAAGGCCATCAAAAATTATAAAGCATGCGCGCCGTGATAAAATCTTATCGATGATTTTAGACGTCAAATGTATTTTATCGCGTAAAATCGATAAAATTCTTCTATAAACGTTTATCATGGTGCGCATCCTAGGCCTACTGTTTACGCTACGCTAGGAACAAGCGATAAATAGTATTAGATCTAATCAGCTAGACGTAAAAAAGCAATAAGTAACTACTTAATTCAACAATAGAAAACATTGCCCCTTTTCTGATGTGGGGTAAAAAAGACTGTCCATTGGATCATGAGCAATAATGGGAGAACATAGTATTTGTACATCGTCTGCCGTGATCACACCGTGATATGATTAACTATTAGTTAATAAACTTAATTCTAGGTACAATTGATATACTTAATTATAATTAATAAACTAGACAATCCTAATTTATTGTAGAACCAATGTATATCGACCATTAGTACATTAAACGGATGTATACAAAGTTACATATTTATCTTCAATGTGTGGGAAGTGTGATTAGTATAGCAATAATAAGGTGCTAATAAGTTGGCACAGTCGTCAGTAAGCTTGGATTATCTCATTCGAAAACTAGATTTCTCATTTGAAAAAGCTAGGCAATTAATTAAGCGATAATAAATACAGTATAATTTGTTGACCTTATACACATAACAAGCATTTTGTTTTCATATGGGTCACTTAAAAATTAGGAATTGATGGTGAAAACAGGCATTATTCAATTTGCTAGGTTGCAGGCAAAATCTTTAGCATTAATTAGCTACATTAAATAATTGAATAAGACTACTCAGAATATGTCGCTAGTTAACAAATCATCTATAGCTGTTAATTATTCAAATCAAAATTCTTAGGCTGAGTTGCACCACCTAACTTTGACCGTAACTTTAACGATAACCGGTGTTTTCTGTACGAAATTTGACAGATTTTTGACGTTTGTCAATGTTAAAGTAAGATGGTGCAACCCAGCCTTATTTGTGGTAAATAATAAAAGCATAATGCAGGCTCTGACTGAAGTCGTGCTTCGACTGTTAGTATGCATAATTAAACTTAAAAATAAAATTACTAATAAAATAAAACAATTTTTAAGACTCATGTTGATTCCATCTATCTTCCTATTTATTACCTTTCTTCCAGATAGTTTAAAGTTGTTAATATAACTGTTATCGAGTTATATGCATAAATATTTATTCAATATCTGTTATGACATGGAACAGAATTAATATCTTTGCAACAGAAATATGTAGCTTAGTGTTACAGCTGCTGTATTTCGAAATCTTTTTAATATAACATTGTTTAAACTCAAAAGCTTTATAATTTTGGTGACTGATCGAGCGAGATACATAAAAATAAAATACGCGTGTTAATAAATAAATAGTTGTTTAGTACCTGTGATGTACCTGATTTGGAAGTCTTTCAACGTATGGGATAAATTCGAAAGTTTCATCAATATTTTCATCTTCATTTTGAGACTACAACGTGTAGGTAGGCCCAGTAGATCTAATGGTTAACTTTAGTCCTATTTAATTACATGAGCATTTTAATTGACTACCGGTCTGTAACCAATATCACCAAAGGTTAAGTTCTCTAAAAAATACTTTATGTTGACCTGAAAAATCATTGACTTTTTAATTAACTTACCAAAAATAGATTTTAGTTGCCTTGAAATCTCTAAACTTAACTGTTAATTGAGATGGAGAACAAATTAATTATCTTTTTGACAGCTTTTAAAAGTTACTTCAATTGATTGATGGCATCAAATACCCATTGTTTTTATTAATTAAACATTATTAACAGTCATAAGTTCTACACAATATACCTACGCTGAGTGCACACTGTTCGACTGATATTTGTATATGGGTGGATGTTCAACGTATGTATGTGTAAATAGTTCATGTAAATATATGTTTTACAGTATTTTAAAGTTTATATATCATAATAATCGACTTATTAGCAGTAGTGTAGTTTTAACTATTTTGTATTTTTGCTATATAGTACGTATATTGTTATATTATAATGTAGTAAAATAACACGTAGCTAGACTCATTTCATAGGTTGTTCTATAAACAATATGCAGTGGTGGGAATGTTCCTTTCCATGTGCTGATTTACAATAGTTATTAAGGTTGAGTTACACCATCTTACTTAACTTTAACAAAAGTCAAAAATCTCAAACTTCATACAAAAAACACCGGGTACTGTTATAGTTAAGTTAAAGTAAGTTAATGCAACTCAGCCTAATACATTTGTTGTTTAAAATATATTCCGGTTTTTAAATAAAAACAGTTTTATGAGTAATCTTCCATGCCTCACACAGTTCTATGTATGTTATCTATAAGACTTTACTTCTATTTACCCTTACATTTAAGTAGTCGAAACTATTTATTGCAATAGTAATTTTGTACATAATGTACTTGATGTAAATATTTATATTACTTAACAAACTGAAAAATAATAAAAGAAATTTCATATTACAAATATTTTGTATTATTGTTGAAAACACGAAGGCTTACCTTCCATAGAAAATTACCCCACGACCGACATTTATTTATACGAATAAATCATTTAGGAAGAATTCGTAACCAACTAAACATGGAATTTGCGGCGTTTCCGAAATATTTCCAGATTTCCAATTATGATACTTTGGCCAAGAATCCAATAAGATGCTTAGTGTTTTCCATTTGTGAATCACAGCGCTGCAATGACAACTGACAGCGGCATTCGGGCGGCGACATCAAAGCGAGCGCGCGCGCCATTTCCGCTGAACGCACGCGCATGCTATTCAGGGCTAGAGGTGAGTGCGAGTAGTTTGCTGTATCGATGTTGGGGGTGATTTTTGAGCTCTATAATATTGAAACTGACTGATTGAAATCGCGACTACCAAGTCCGTTAAGGAACGCCTCTTCGGTATTTTTGAGTCGAGTCATCTCCCTCGCTCAGTATAAGATATCTGTACGAGCGGCTGAGACAAATAATATACTTGAAAATACAGTATGTGAGGGATGGAATAGGGAGTAAACCTGCCAACATCGACTGCTGTAGGTAAAAGTAGAGTCTCAGCTAGAATATTGGTAGATAGATGGTAGAATCTTAGTAGTAGTAGTCATTTGTTACAATCTTTCTCTCAATCCAGTTCTGTCTATACTACGTAAAGCTAACGTTACAACCTGTTAAATTAAGAGGTTCAATTGAACCACCAAAGACTTCAAAGTGGGTAGGTAATTCTTATTTGACGTGTTTGCGTAAAAAGTAACTTCCAATTGAATTAATATTAATGGGTCATACAGGTTGTATCGATAATTCCGTTCCTAACACTATGAAAGATTCCCTTGTTTAGAATATCGGGAATAATGTGGCGCCGTCCATTGCCAGGAATGTTTCTTGTTGGAAATTATCCTGCTTTCGCCTCCGAGATTTATTTTACCATGTAGTACCCCTGTACGACAACCCAATCCGCACACAATATTCAGCGTAGTAGTATTAAAAAACAAAAGAGCGGGCAACCCCACCCCTACCACGCTGTGGGCTCGGTGTCCGAGCGGTCTCATTCCTTTGTGCGCACGCGCAACGACCGCACGCAGTATAAGAAAAATGCTTAAGTGACGTCACCAGGACGTTTTTACCGACAAAAAACGTAATTATTTTAAGTTGTGCAGTGTAGTGACGAGAATTAGACCCAACAAAGCTATATTTCTGGCTTCGTTTGTAGTCCCTAGAGCCCTAACAATACCTTTTAATTAGATTTAAAGAAAGGTTTGATAGGAAGGAGGACTGCACTAAGGCTTTCTTGGCCTCAGTGGGGGAAATGAAACACAACGCGGACGGTTGATATCTGGTTTATTACTGTTATGCTATTGCTATATACAAGATTTACATAATGTACACAATTCAATGTGTCCAGTCCAATGTGCCGTCGGTGTAGAGTGCCTACGGTGCACGTTCGTCCAGGGTTCATGGGCCAGTCGGCTAGCATGTTGTAGGTCGCGGTCGATGCTGACGTGCTCGTACAGTATCCTTGTGGGCAAGTAAGATTATAACCAATTCATCTTTTTCCTTGAGGGTAAAAATTTGCCCCCATTACCTTTTACCATTGTCGTTCTTATCGTTAAATCGCACAAAACTACACAGAACTTAACACAACATCTATCAAAATCAATTTTCATTTTCATTTTTGGTGCAACAGTCATCTTGACATTTACTTTTTTTAAGGCAAAGGAAATTACAACAGAGTACATAATAGTCCAAATATCTTTTTTGTCTTTAATAATAACCCAAAAATAAAAAAAGACATCAGTTTTGATCAACTAGGTGTTTCTAGTGGCACTAAATTAATGACTGAGACGTTTGATGACTCTAATTAGGTTTTTATTTATGGCATACTTAGAATTGCTCTAGGGCCTTTGAGAAAGCTGCAGACATGTACATTCTCAATTATTTTGTTCTTCAGATAATATCCCAATTTTACTTATGAAGTTGAAGAAGCAGGCTCTCGAGAAAACTAGAATAATTTGTTTATTACATAAAAATAAATTCTGATATTGATACTTTATTCTAAAACCTTTTTTATTATTCAAGTAGGTCAGACTAGTGGTATATATGAATAATAATTCATTTTTAATTGTGTAAAAACTTTTTAACAGATCCTACTTACTATTTATTACATCGATTTTAAAAAACAGAAACGTCACAGTGACAAATGTCGCGATGATCGCTGTGGGTCTAGACAAAGTGCCATTATAATCGCAAACCAGTCGAAAAGTGGTCGAAAAGCCCCTTTTTTGTATGGAATTTGACGGATTCGATTTTCGATTCGATCAAAAAGTGCGTTTTGTCTAGGGGGGCTGATCGCTGCGTGCAGACGCTGCATAGATCGCCGCGACCAATGACAGGACGCGTTGATGTGAATACATCGCATTGAAGTAATATTACTACGTATAGAACAGACATCGCGAACAAAATATGTACAGTGCGGGGTGCGGGGCGGGAATTTGACGGACAGCTGTCAGTCAAATCCATGACTATCAAGTTTCATAATTTATGGCGATCTTAAATCTCTTCGGCGAAAACAGGATAATTTAGATCGAACTTCACTTGGTAAGTTCGTTTGATCATTCAATTATGCCGAACGCGCTCATTAGTCATTAAGAGAGTTCTTAATTGCAGTTTAAATTGCTCTGTTTGCGCTAACCGATGAGAAGAGTTTGCATGTAAGATCTGAAAGTTTAAACAAAAATAACTTCTCAAGTGCAAATGAACTGTAGGATATAAAATATTAAGAATGACATAAACAGGACACAGTTATCGAGGTCGACATCTGTTTTACTTTAAAACAATGGAACTATCACGGAAAAAGCTCTACTTTCCAAATTATGCACATTAACGCCTATCAATAAAAACTAGGCAAAGTCTCATTTCGACAATCCATCTAACACCAGTCTGCTGACTCTGTTTGAACCACTATGTCCAATGGTTTTATATCAGGAGATTGTAGGTCAAATAACGTCATATAACTACTTGCTTGATTAAATCAAAGTTATGTATCGTCTTTGAGTTTTCATATTGAACTCGTAAGTACTCCCAGACTTCTGGGTGGGTAGATAAAATCTCCATGTTCGAGTTTCCTTGCCCCCAAAATAAATGGCTTGTTTTCCGCTCCAACTGCGCAAACTTTTATATGTCCATCGGCCCATATCTGAACAATTATAACACTTTCCCAATTCTTTAATTAGCCCACTATTTTTCGCACAAAGAAATGTTGTTTTCGACAAACACCATACGAGTGGGCGCTGAAGATATAATTTCAGATATTTTATTTACATTTACCTGAAGGAATTTGCTTCTGGTAGTTGAGTAAGTACGAAGGCATTTTTCTTCGGGAAACGTGTGCAAAGGCATCGCTCCGTGAATTTCCACTTGTGTGACTGGACCTTTGATTAATGCGACGTTTTCGATTTATTTAGTTTGGATCTGTATATTTTGTTAATCGGTTGTTTAACTTTGAATTTCTCACGTGCTCCTGTTTTGATTTAATCTACGATGGGTCTTATTGCATCATCGATATGCAGGTTTTAGAAGTGACTGTATTAAATGGACCAGGAAGAGTGTTAGGATCATCCGTTGAGGAACTTTCAAGGCTTAAGGCCTAGATATTTATTTAGATATGATACGTAGTTAGGTGGTAGTATCCTCAGGGCTTCCGTTCAGAAAGTTCTAAACAAACTATATCTTTAAAAATATGGGTCTCTGTAGGTACCTACACATTAATCAGAGTAATAAATTAACTCCATGAATGAACAGAGCGTATTGAGTAGCGTCCTGCGTTCCCACATCATTGCCCAATACAATTAACAATAGGAAACAATAGTTATACTGTTCCTTGTACGTGTCGGCGGCTGAGCCCGCCAGTTTTATTTTAGTCGCAAATACACCTTTAAAGAAATCACATGTNTTAACAGTAATATACCTGAACATAACGTATATCAATATAATAACGTACATCGGGTATATAATATTAACGTACATTGGTGACGCCCGACGTGATCATTACGTATACAGTGTATCAATACGCCCGACGTGATAATTAGGTATACAGTGTATAAATACGTACATTGGTGACGCCAGTTGATCATTTTTTACGTTTGGGACAGTGCATTGTGGATGGATCCTCACGACAGACCCGCACTTATTTACGCCGCGCCTAATACGCCGGCGCCTTTTTTAGCGGCACCACCCGCACAGGCGTCGACGGAGACGGATACTTTGGCCAGTAGAAGTGTTTCGTCGAGGATACCAGATATCTGGTCATTCCAACCGCGACTCAGGTTTGTCCAGGAAGCAATCAGGCCAGAATATACAGAAATAGCCGAAATGAAAACCTCCACGCCGGGAAGCATTCACGAATTATCGGAAATGATTAACCGACTACAAGTGGAAATCGCTGAGTTACGCCGGTCCAGAACACCTCTACGGCAGGAAAGTTCAACCGTACGAGGGAGAATAGGCCGATCGGGTCAGCGCGACGTGAGTAAGTCCCGAAAAAAACCAAATTGGTTATGTTTTTATCATCACCGTTACCGTGCTAAGGCTGTGAAGTGCGTCGAGCCTTGCAATTGGAAGGGNTAGTAACTAAATAAGACGCAATATAAAAATTTCATCCGTTAAAAGCCCTCAAGTTATTTCTGAACTTTAGTTTAGTAAAAGATTCAGAATCTCAAATCGCTTATTTTAAAAATAAAACCATTATTAGAAAACGAATAGAGGTAACTTTGGGAATTTATTCTATCGAGTCAACTTCATCAAATCGTGTTTCCATCCGTTAATAGCCCTAGAAAATATCCTCAACTATGCTCAAAAAAAATCTTAGCCTTTTATTTTACTGTTTAGTACCTCAAAAATGAAAAATGAAAACCTCATTTTCGCCATTTTCTCTGTTA